CGGCAATAATAGGTGAAAGAGAGTATAAAACATTAAGAATTTGGTAGTAAATAGATTTCGTATTTAGTTAGCATTATATTTTATTGAAACGCTTCAAGTGCCTGTGCACGCGGGCGCATAACCCGACCAGGCTGTGTGACTAACGTCAATATACACACTTCTAACCCTAGCAAGACCGTTTCAAGGAGCTTGGTGTTTGGTGCTTGGTATAGAGGGCGCAGTGCCAGTAGGAGGTTCGGAGCCAGGTGCCGCGTATTGGCCGGTAGGAAAGTCTATTTGCGCCCATGGGCTACTGGTAATGTTGATATTAAACGATTATTACGTTCTAGAATTCTTGTGATTACGTCACCGTGAATAGTAAAAAATACAAATAAAATTTCCACTTTTTAACAAAATATAAGTAATTCTGTTTACTTTTATGGTTAATTGCTGCATTATACTTCTTATTTTACTATATTGTTCGATGTGAACATACACTCGTGACGCATACATAGCCTATAGCAAGCAATTAATGTCAGGAACACTAATATCAAATCGTCTAGGTTTTTTGGTTTTTTAACTAGTTGAGAAACAATCTTATCAGGTAAGAATTCTAACGATACGTTTAGTCCTGCTAGTTCTTACATTCATTGTAAAAAAATGGCAACAAAAATTTTACAAATTTTACCATAGAAAATTCGTGACGTAGTCAATTTAATGTGTACTTACTCTGCATATTGGTATGCCATTTCTCAATTGTTAGATGGTGGTACGTAGTCCATAAAACGTCTTGAGCTTATGTTAGACTGGTTCGCGGCCCACTGCTTTCGTACGGTCGTGCCGTCTAGCATAGCGAGCTTCTGAGTGGTGCTGGCGGTGTGGACCAGTCTAGAGCTCACGTGTGATGTGGTTATCGCGTCCTCGTGTTGCTAACAGCAAGCAAACGCCGCATAGACACATGTCGCGCACACACGCACACGCACACACACACGCACACGCATAGGCACACGGCGCGCGCACACGCAAAGG